ATATTTTTTATTGTGAAACAAACAAGAAATAAGACCAAAAAAATTAACTATTCACCCCCCCAAAGTCAATACTTTGTAAAGTCATCTTTTGCAGCAATTACAGCTGCAAGTCTCTTGGGGTTTGTTTCACTGGGAATTTTGCCCATTCTTCAAGGTAAAACTGTTCCAGCTCCTTCAAGTTGGATGGGTTCTGCTGGTGTACAGCAATCTTTAAGTCATACCACATATTCTCAATTGGATTGAGGTCTGGGCTTTGACTAGGCCATTCCAAGACATTTAAATGTTTCCCCTTAAACCACTTGAGTGTTGCTTTAGCATTGTCCTGCTGGAAGGTGAACCTCCGTCCCAGTCTCAAATCTCTTGAAGACTGAAACAGGTTTCCCTCAAGAATTTCCCTGTATTTAGCGCCATCCATCATTCCTTCAATTCTGACCAGTTTCCCAGTCCCTGCCGATGAAAAACATCCCCACAGCATGATGCTGCCACCACCATGCTTCACTGTGGGGATGGTGTTCTCGGGGTGATGAGAGGTGTTGGGTTTGCGCCAGACATAGCGTTTTCCTTGATGGCCAAAAAGCTCAATTTTAGTCTCATCTGACCAGAGTACCTTCTTCCATATGTTTGGGGAGTCTCCCACATGCCTTTTGGCGAACACCAAACATGTTTGCTTATTTTTTTCTTTAAGCAATGGCTTTTTTTCTGGCCACTCTTCCGTAAAGCCCAGCTCTGTGGAGTGTACAGCTCAAAGTGGTCCTATGGACAGATACTCCAATCTCCACTGTGGAGCTTTGCAGGTCCTTCAGGGTTATCTTTGGTCTCTTTGTTGCCTCTCTGATTAATGCCCACCTTGCCTGGTCCGTGAGTTTTGGTGGGCGGCCCTCTCTTGGCAGGTTTGTTGTGGTGCCATATTCTTTTCATTTTCTTATAATGGATTTAATGGTGCTCTGTGGGATGTTCAAAGTTTCTGATATTTTTTTATAACCCAAGCCTGATCTTTACTTCTCCACAACTTTTTCCTCAACCTGTTTGGAGAGCTCCTTTGTCTTCATGGTGCAGCTTGCTTGGTGGTGCCCCTTGCTTAGTGGTGTTACAGACTCTGGGGCCTTTCAGAACAGGTGTATAAATACTGAGATCATGTGACACTTAGATTGCACACAGGTGGACTTTATTTAACTAATTATGTGACTTCTGAAGGTAATTGGTTGCACCATATCTTATTTAGGGGATTCATAGCAAAGGGGTGAATACATTTGCACGCACCATTTTTCCGTTATTTATTTTTTAGAATTTTTGGAAACAAGTTATTTTTTTCATTTCACTTCACCAATTTGGACTATTTTGTATATGTCCATTACATGAAATCCAAATAAAAATCCATTTAAATTACAGGTTGTAATGCAACAAAATAGGAAAAACTCCAAGGGGGATGAATACTTTTGCGAGGCACTGTATGTTGGCTCGTCCTGGCTGTCAAATGTTCTGCGGGCTGCTATGATTATGTTTATCCAGCAATATGCCAATGCTGTTCTCCAGTGGTTGTAAATGGTACTGCAATATTATAATTATAATTGACATACAGTGTAACATTACAGTTTTACTATCACAAAGTCTTACAGTTTAGTTCAGGGGACCCTGTACTAAATTATGCGCTAGCCTCTCAGACATTTGTCTTGAACCCAGATCACTAGTTTGTAACATCAATAGGGGATCACCAGCAGTCCAATCCATCCTTCCCTCAATGACTAAACTGTTTATTGATATGCATTTCAATCATTTCATGTAATAATGTAACAGACTGTAAAACATCCACATTTTCTTTAATAAAGCAACTTTATTAGAGCTTTAGTATATTAATCTATCTTGAGAAATAATAGATAACCCTGATATAAAGTAAACAAATCAACAACAACACAACAACAATGAGTTTGTATCATGACAGTGTCAACGCTGCACTGGAAAGTGGGACAAAAAATAACTTCAACAGGGAGAATAAATAACAAATCAAATCAATGACAATGTTTCTGAACAGAGACTAAACGAATAGAGGAAGAACTTTCCAATGGCTGATCATCACTGTCCAACTACTGTAACTGTACTGCTAGCTACAGCCCAACTACTGTAACTGTACTGCTAGCTACAGTCCAACTACTGTAACTGTACTGCTAGCTACAGCTACATGACCACTAGTACAGAGAGGCTTCGCAATGGCAATTTCAAAGTCAGAATAATCACCAGAAATAGAAACATTGAATCAGTATGGCATATGTTCTACAAACTACTGATTGCATTACGGGGAAGATGGTGATGATATTTCCAAATGAAAAAATGGTGAGTTTCAAAAATATTGAAAGTAAATTGGTATTTTTGCTCATTGTTCCTGGAACGTTTACAAGCAATGAGATAAAAGCTACAATCCAAACCACTAAAAACCGACCTGGCTTTTCAAATACCTGGGTTAAATGCTTGGGAGTGTATTTGAGTCAGTTATTTGAGTATACAAATACTTTCCAAGTGTATTTCCAAATACATTCCAGTATTCAACTACTTGTTTTTTCAAATAAAGGTTATCTGTCCCCTGTAGCTCAGTTTGTAGAGCATGGCACTTGCAACGCCAGGGTTGTGGGTTCGTTTCCCACGGATGGCCAGTATGAAAATGTATGCACTCACTAACTGTAAGTCGCTCTGGATAAGAGCGTCTGCTAACATGTAAAAATGTAATCTGAACACTTGTTTTGAAATAACTGAAATAGTATTTGAACCCAGGTCTGTTGGAAACACAGGAATCTTATACATCTTTATGAGGGGGTATTAAAGGGAACATTATACTGTAGATCCCATTCCACCATCATCCCAGTTGGTCCCTTTGTATTCCTGAATCCCTGGAACATGACGAGCAATCTACACCAATCACCAGCCTGAATAATTCCTAAAATTCCACCCACACTTATCTAATATCGTCTATGATTGGCTTCCTTTTTAAGGAAGTGCAACGATGGCATCCTGAGATGGCAGTTTACATCCACTGCTCATATAGTATCAACTGTCATCCATCACAAACTCAATCTCTACTCTTCCCTTCAATCTGACAAACACATTTAAATGATATTATGTTATTATACACTCATCAGGGTTTATGTACATTAGGTAAAACATGGTGGTTTTTGGTGGTATGGCTTTAAATGATCTTATTTCACGCTATTAAAAAATGATATCTGAATACATGACTTTGATATGTTTGAAATAGATGCTGCCATTTTCTTAAATCTGTCTTGTTATATGTAGAGTAGAAGGGGTTTGGTATGGATGGGTCCAGAGCAGAATATGCTGGCTGGGGGAGTTTGGAGGTTAGGACAGGGGCAGCTAGTTAAGAGAATGGGACAGGCTAGTTTAGGAGAGGGTACCAGGCTACAGCCATGGGGGGGGCTCCGTTAAAGCTGTTCTGCTAAACCTCGGTTGTTTATCCATGTCTTTGAGAGTTTGAAGAGGCTTGTAGGGGTTTGAAGATATGGTTGATCCTGCCCGAGAGGAGATAGATAGCTGGAGAGAGAGAGAGATCGCTATAGATATGCGAGATAGCTAGAGCGACATCGTAACGAGCGTAGAGAGAGAGAGATAGAGAGATAGATAGCGCGAGCTCTATGCTCTTCTCTCTCTTCTGTCGTCTCTTCTTCTCGTCTCCTCTCTCGCTCTAATCTCTCTCGCTCTCTCTCTCGCTCTCTCTCTCGGCGAGACGAGAGAGAGAGAGTAGTTGAAAATTAGAGTAGTTGAACATCTTGGAACATATCATTGAAGACTTCACTCATCTGCTAAATTAAAGTAGAGTAGATCTACAGTTCCAAAATGGGAATGATAGACAGAAATACACAGAAATCCCATATAAAGACACGGGTTCAGCTTTTAGTCCAGGAAAGAGTATCATATTCACGGAAATATAACATTTCTGCCCCAGTCACCATGATATGTAAAGCAGAAATCGACCATAGCTGCTGCTCCTCTAAACGATTTAGGTGCAAAAAGGCCCAATAAATACAACATCTGTGAAGAAATTTTTCATTGGCATATATTGTCTTTGAGGAAAAATATATATATTTTTTTCCATCCATTCAATATCAACCCGTCGGTCAAACTGTTTGCCAAACAATCATACAAGTGGTTCTCAATAGTTTGACAGAGAGGTTGATATTGAATGGATGGACAGACATGTTGTTTTCTCAAAGACTAAAATATCCAGAGAAAAGGGGAGCTTTTGACAACTGTCTACATCACAGGAGGTTGGTGGCACCTTCATTGGGGAGGATGGGCACGCGGTAATGGCTGGAGCGGAATCAGGGGAATGGTATCAAATACATCAAACAAATGGTTTCCAGGTGTTTGATGGCATTCCATTTGCTCCGTTCCAACCATTATTATGAGCCGTCCTCCCCTCAGCAGTCTCCAGCGGTCTAAGGCACTGCATCTCAGTGCTAGAGGCATCACTACAGACCCTGGTTCGATTCCAGGCTGTATCACAATCCAGCCATGATTGGGAGTCCCATAGGGCGGCACACAATTGGCCCAGTGTCTTCTGGGTTTGGCCGTCATTGTAAATAAGAATTTGTTCTTAACTGACTTGCCTAGATAAATAAAGGTAAAAAAAAAAAATACAAATAAATAAATAAATACCAAGGACAGTTACAGAGAGCACATACAAGATAAACAGAATAGACGACAGCACCACAGACCAAGTACACACAGACATGGAGGGAATAGAGGTGAAAACATTAAACAACCGACTGAACCATAGAACAACAGGATGGAGGACGGATCACAAACAGGGGAATGACAGTGTGGATCCCTATGGGTCCTGGTCAAAAGTAGTGCACTGTAAAAGGAATAGGGTACCATTTGGGACACAGCACAGGGGACTCTGAGTCCTGGGCCAGTGGAGGGGAGGTGGTGAGAGGAGGCTGAAAGAGGTGCTTCACATCACAACAACCATCTTTACTTCTCAGTGTGTGTTCTCATTCTGCGGGGGCAGGCTCTGGTTCCTCAGGGGCAGCGTTGGGGTCCAGGAAGTCAGGGTGCTGCAGCTCCTTCAGGTATTTGGTGGGAGTGAGCATGTGGGTGGAACCTACGGAGGGAGTGGGACAAACGCTGCATGCTCATTTCACATTGTATCTTTATAAGTAGTTTTTTTGGGTGAGGTCTTGAAGTCCCCTGAAAGATAAATGGCAGTCCAATCCACCCATCCATCCGTCAATGCGATGTTGTGACTAAAATGTTAAAGGAGTTCACTTGTGAAAGGATATTCTCTGCATGAATGGAACTTCCTGTCCTGTACTGGGTGGAGCTAAGTAATATACAGTACCAGTCAAAGGTTTGGACACACCTACTCATTCAAGGGTTTTTCTTTATTTTTACTATTTTCTACATTGTAGAATAATAGTGAAGACATCGAAACTATGAAATAACACATATGGAGTCATGTAGTGACCAAAAAAGTGTTAAACAAATCAAAATATATTTTATATTTGAGATCATTCAAAGTAGCTTAACCTCCACTTGACCTCTGATAGATAACTGATCAGAAGATGAATGGATCCGGTACCCTCCTAGAGTAACAAATCTAATCTAATTAGTCACATGCTTTGTAAACAACAGGTGTAGACTAAGTGAAATGCTTACTTACGGTTCCTTTTCCAACAAAGCAGAGTTTAACATGAAGATATACACTACCAGTCAAAGGTTTGGACACACCTACTCATTCAAGGGTTTTTCTTTATTTTTAATATTTTCTACATTGTAGAATAATAGTGAAGACATCAAAACTATGAAATAACACATATGGAATCATGTAGTAACCAAAAAAGTGTTATATATTTTATATATTATACTTCAAATAGCCACCCTTTGCTTTGCACACTCTTGGCATTCTCTCAACCAGCTTCATGAGGTAGTCACCTGGAATGCATTTCAATTAACAGGTGTGCCTTGTTAAAAGTTAATTTCAGGAATTTCTTCCCTTCTTAATACATTTGAGCCAATCAGCTGAGTTGTGACAAGGTGGGGGGGGGGGTATACAGAAGATAGCCCTATTTTGTAAAAGACCAAGTCCATATTATGGTAAGAACAGCTCAAATAAGCAAAGAGAAACGACAGTCCATCATTACTTTAAGACATGAAGGTCAGTCAATACGGAACATTTCAAGAAAATTGAAAGTTTCTTCAAGTGCAGTCGCAAAAACCATCAAGCGCTATGATGAAACTGGCTCTAATGAGGACCGCCACAGGAATGGAAGACCCAGAGTTACCTCTGCTGCACAGGATAAGTTCATTAGAGTTACCAGCCTCAGAAATTGCAGCCCAAATAAATGCTTCACAGAGTTCAAGTCACAGAAACATCTCAACATCAACTGTTCAGAGGGGACTGTGTGAATCAGGCCTTCGTGGTCGAATTCCTGCAAAGAAACCACTACTAAAGGACACCAATAAGAAGAAGAGACCTGCTTGGGCCAAGAAACACGAGCAATGGACATTAGACAGGTGGAAATGTGTCCTTTGGTCTGGAGTCCAAATTTGAGATTTTGGGTTCCAACCGCTGTGTCATTGTGAGACGCGGTGTGGGTGAACGGATGATCTCTGCATGTGTAGTTCCCACCGTAATGCATGGAGAAGGAGGTCTTATGGTGTGGGGGTGCTTTGCTTGTGACCCTGTCTGTGATTTATTTAGAATTCAAGGCACACTTAACCAGCATGGCAAGCACAGCATTCTGCAGCGATACGCCATCCCATCTGGTTTGGGCTTAGTGGGACTATAATTTCTCTTTTAACAGGACAATGACCCAACACACCTCCAGGCTGTAGGACTATCATTTGTCTTTTAACAGGACAATGACCCAACACACCTCCAGGCTGTGTAAGGGCTATTTTACCAAGATGGAGAGTGATGGAGTGCTGCATCAGATGACCTGGCCTCCACAATCCCCCGACCTCAACCCAATTGAGATGGTTTGGGATGAGTCGGACGGCAGAGTGAAGGAAAAGCACCCAACAAGTGCTCAGCATATGTGGGAATTCCTTCAAGACTGTTGGAAAAGCATTCCAGGTGAAGCTGGTTGAAAGAATGCCAAGATTGTCAAATATATTTTGATTCGTTTAACACTTTTTTGGTTACTACATGATTCCATATGTGTTATTTCATAGTTTTGATGTCTTCACTAATATTCTACAATGTAGAAAGTAGTAAAAATAAAGAAAAACCCTTGAATGAGTAGGTGTGTCCAACATTTTCACTGGTACTGTATATATATTTTTTATAGTGACACAAGGAATAAATATACAGTTAATAACAATAACGAGTAAAAATATTATGGCTATATACAGGGAGTACCAGGTAATAACATGGCTATATACAGGGAATACCAGGTAATAACATGGCTATATACAGGGAGTACCAGGTAATAACATGGCTATATACAGGGAGTACCAAGTAATAACATGGCTATATACATGGAGTACCAGGTAATAACATGGCTATATACAGGGAGTACCAGGTAATAGCATGGCTATATACAGGGAGTACCAGCTAATAGCATGGCTATATACAGTGGTGTAAAGTACTTAAGTAAAAATACTTTAAAGTACTACTTAAGTAGTTTTTGGGGTATCTGTACTTTACTTTACTATTTAAATTTTTGCCAACTTTGACTTTTACTTCACTACATTCCAAAAAAAATAAAAAAATGTTTTACTCCATACATTTTCCCTGACACCCAAAAGTACTCGTTACAATTTGACAGGAAAATGGTCCAATTCACATACTTATCAAGAGAACATCCCTGGTTATGCCTTCTGCCTCTGATCTGGCAGACTCACTAAACACAAATGCTTTGTTTGTAAATTATGTCTGAGTGTTGGAGTGTGCCCCTGGCTATCCGTCAATAATAAAATAAAATAAATTGGTGCCGTCTGGTTTGCTTAATATAAGCGAGAGTTGCACCCCTTCTCAAAAAACCAACACTCGATCCTTCTGATGTCAACAACTACAGACCAGTATCCCTTCTTTCTTTTCTCTCCAAAACTATTGAGCGTGCCGTCTTTAGCCAACTCTCTTGCTATCTCTCTCAGAATGACCTTCTTGATCCAAACCAGTCAGGTTTCAAGACTGGTCATTCAACTAAGACTGCTCTTCTCTGTGTCACGGAGGCTCTCCGCACTGCTAAAGCTAACTCTCTCTCCTCTGCTCTTGTCCTTCTAGACCTGTCTGCTGCCTTTGATACTGTGAACCATCAGATCCTCCTCTTCACCCTCTACAAGCTGGGAATCTCCGGCGCGGCTCACTCTTGGATTGCGTCCTACCTGACCGGTCGCTCCTACCAAGTGGCGTGGCGAGAAGCTGTCTCCGCACCACGTGCTCTCACCACTGGTGTCCCCCAGGGCTCAGTTCTAGGCCCTCTCCTATTCTCGCTATACACCAAGTCACTTGGCTCTGTCATATCCTCACATGGCCTCTCCTATCATTGCTACGCAGACGACACACAACTAATCTTCTCCTTTCCCCCTTCTGATAACCAGGTGGCGAATCGCATCTCTGCATGTCTGGCAGACATATCACTATGGATGACGGATCACCACCTCAAGCTGAACCTTGGCAAGACGGAGCTGCTCTTCCTCCCGGGGAAGGACTGCCCGTTCCATGATCTCGCCATCACGGTTGACAACTCCGTTGTGTCCTCCTCCCAGAGTGCGAAGAGCCTTGGCGTGACCCTGGACAACACCCTGTCGTTCTCCGCTAACATCAAGGCGGTGACCCGATCCTGTAGGTTCATGCTCTACAACATTCGGAGAGTACGACCCTGCCTTACACAGGAAGCGGCACAGGTCCTAATCCAGGCACTTGTCATCTCCCGTCTGGATTACTGCAACTCGCTGTTGGCTGGGCTCCCTGCCTGTGCCATTAAACCCCTACAACTCATCCAGAATGCCGCAGCCCGTCTGGTGTTCAACCTTCCCAAGTTCTCTCACGTCACCCCGCTCCTCCGCACACTACATTGGCTTCCAGTTGAAGCTCGCATCTGCTACAAGACCATGGTGCTTGCCTACGGAGCTGTGAGGGGAACGGCACCTCTGTACCTTCAGGCTCTGATCAGTCCCTACACCCAAACGAGGGCATTGCGTTCATCCACCTCTGGCCTGCTGGCTCCCCTACCGCTGCTGAAGCACAGTTCCCGCTCAGCCCAGTCAAAACTGTTCGCTGCTCTGGCACCCCAATGGTGGAACAAGCTCCCTCACGACGCCAGGACAGCGGAGTCACTCAACACCTTCCGGAGACATTTGAAACCCCACCTCTTTAAGGAACACCTGGGATAGGATAAAGTAATCCTTCTAACCCCCCCTTACCCCCCCCCCCCCCCCCCCCCCCCCCCAATAAAAAATAATAAAATATATATATAATAATAATTTGTAAAGTGGTTATCCCACTGGCTATAAGGTGAATGCACCAATTTGTAAGTCGCTCTGGATAAGAGCGTCTGCTAAATGACGTAAATGTAAATGTAAATGTAAATTTGAAATGGTTTATACTTTTACTTTTGATACTTAAGTACATTTGAGCAATTCCATTTACTTTTGATACTTAAGTATATTTAAAACCAAATACTTTTAGACTTTTACTCAAGTAGTATTTTACTGGGTGACTTTCACTTTTACTTGAGACATTTTCTATTAAGGTATCATTACTTTTACTCAAGTATGACAATTAAGTACCTTTTCCACCACTGGCTATATACAGGGAGTACCAGGTAATAACATGGCTATATACCGGAAGTACAAGGTAATAACATGGCTAAAATACATGGAGTACCAGGTAATAACATGGCTATATACAGGGAGTACCAGGTAATAACTTGGCTATATACAGGGAGTACCAGTACCGAGTCGATGAGCAGGGGTACGAGGTAATAACATGGCTATATACAGGGAGTACCAATACCGAGTCGATGTTCAGGGGTACGAGGTAATAACATGGCTATATACAGGGAGTACCAGTACTGAGTCGATGTGCAGGGGTACGAGGTAATAACATGGCTATATACAGGGAGTTCCAGTACTGAGTTGACGTGCAGGGATACGAGGTAATAACATGGCTATATACAGGGAGTACCAGTACTGAGTTGACGTGCAGGGATACGAGGTAATAACATGGCTGTATACAGGGAGTACCAGTACTGAGTCGATGTGCAGGGGTACGACTGTGTCCTGTGCCTGACCCTGCATGGTATCCATTCCCTGTTGTCACAACAGCACATACATCCAGTCTCTGATGCTTTCTCAAAAACACGATCTGATCTGATCTGAGCACACAAAGCAGATTCCATCCAGCAGCAGCTGAGTCCGCCACAGTGGAATAGAACTATACAGTGTGGGAAAAAAGTATTTGATCACCTGCTGATTTTGTATGTTTGCCCACTGACAAAGACATGATCAGTCTATAATTTGAATGGTAGGTTTATTTGAACAGTGAGAGACAGAATAACAACAAAAAAATCCAGAAAAACGCATGTCAAAAATGTTATCAATAGATTTTGCATTTTAATGAGGGAAATAAGTATTTGACCCCTCTGCAAAAAATGACTTAGCACTTGGTGGCAAAACCCTTGTTGGCAATCACAGAGGTCAGACATTTCTTGTAGTTGGCCACCAGGTTTGCACACATCTCAGGAGGGATTTTGTCCCACTCCTCTTTGCAGATCTTCTCCAAGTCATTAAGGTTTCGAGGCTGACGTTTGGCAACTTGAACCTTCAGCTCCCTCCACAGATTTTCTATGGGATTAAGGTCTGGAGACTGGCTAGGCCACTCCAGGACCTTAATGTGCTTCTTCTTGAGCCACTCCTTTGTTGCCTTGGCCGTGTGTTTTGGGTCATTGTCATGCTGGAATACCCATCCACGACCCATTTTCAATGCCCTGGCTGAGGGAAGGAGGTTCTCACCCAAGATTTGACGGTACGTGGCCCTGTCCATCGTCCCTTTGATGCGGTGAAGTTGTCCTGTCCCCTTCGCAGAAAAACACCCCCAAAGCATAATGTTTCCACCTCCATGTTTGACGGTGGGGATGGTGTTCTTGGGGTCATAGGCAGCATTCCTCCTCCTCCAAACACGGCGAGTTGAGGTAATGCCAAAGAGCTCGATTTTGGTCTCATCTGACCACAACACTTTCACCCAGTTCTCCTCTGAATCATTCAGATGTTCATTGGCAAACTACAGACGAGCCTGTATATGTGCTTTCTTGAGCAGGGGGACCTTGCGGGCGCTGCAGGATTTCAGTCCTTCACGGCATAGTGTGTTACCAATTGTTTTCTTGGTGACTATGGTCCCAGCTGCCTTGAGATCATTGACAAGATCCTCACGTGTAGTTCTGGGCTGATTCCTCACCGTTCTCATGATCATTGCAACTCCACGAGGTGAGATCTTGCATGGAGCCCCAGGCCGAGGGAGATTGACAGTTCTTTTGTGTTTCTTCCATTTGTGAATATTCGCACCACCTGTTGTCACCTTCTCACCAAGCTGCTTGGCGATGGTCTTGCAGCCCATTCCAGCCTTGTGTAGGTCTACAATCTTGTCCCTGACATCCTTGGAGAGCTCTTTGGTCTTGGCCATGGTGGAGAGTTTGGAATCTGATTGATTGATTGCTTCTGTGGACAGGTGTCTTTTATAAAGGTAACAAGCTGAGATTAGAAGCACTCCTTTTAAGAGTGTGCTCCTAATCTCAGCTCGTTACCTGTATAAAAGACACCTGGGAGCCAGAAATCTTTCTGATTGGGAGGGGGTCAAATACTTATTTCCCTCATTAAAATGCAAATCAATTTATAACATTTTTGACATGCGTTTTTCTGGATTTTTTTGTTGTTATTCTGTCTCTCACTGTTCAAATAAACCTACCATTAAAATTATAGACTGATCATTTCTTTGTCAGTGGGCAAACGTACAAAATCAGCAGGGGATCAAATACTTTTTTCCCTCACTGTAGGATTTCAACAGTATATTCTAATGATTTCCACAGTTCCTAAGTATCGCCATGCCAGGATGATTCAGGATATATAGATGGAGTAGATGTCTCCTTTTTCCCTGCAATAAAGTTATGATTGTACACCCTATGCCTGCTTCCTACTAGGCCTAGAATGTATATCCAGGTAGAATGTACATAGAAGGGCTACGTGGTGCAATGAGTATAATTCTCAAGTCCGGCATAGAGTGCATTCTATGTCGGACATACAGTTGTGACCATGGCATTTTACCCCACGCATGCTGCCAACTCACCAATGATGGCCTCCCATTTGCCATTGGCCTGTGTGACTTCGTAGACGCAGCGCATCTCGCTAAAGGTCATGCCTCCGATGATGAAGACGATGACCCGAGGACCCGTCTTCATCTCTGTGGGGCCCTTGTTCTTGTGCCAGTTACCGTACCGGGCACTGCAATGAGAGGGCAGGACATTCAAGTAACACTTTATATGGATAGTCTATCTATGATGAGACATACTGTTAAGATGCTACTGAAAGGTTGAAGATAGCTGGTGAGATGTTGATAATAGTCTACTGACAGTTGGTTAACCATCTGTGGATGGACTACAGCCACTTTCTTGTTGAAAGTCAACAGACATGCAGTTCACATGTTACTGTTAGCCTGTTGATAGTTTGTGGAGTGTAGAACAGATGGACTATCCAATTAAAGTGTTGCCGACATTCAAACCAAAGTATTGGGATATATTGAGGCCGTTCCTACCTCCACTAGAAGCTAAAATGAATAATTCCAGTAAGTCATTGGAAACTCAGAAGTGACAGACTACAGAGGGGATGTAAAATGAACATAGTTAATCTTCATACCTTGATGGAGCGCTGGAGTGGGTGGAGGCAGTGCGTTGGGAGATGTAGGGGTACTGCTTTGGATCCAGTTTGTCCTCAATAGCATCCTGTAGAGAAACAAAATGGAGTCAGTGGACTAAACCTAGCTTCATGTCCACACCCTGGTTCAACCCTAACCTTAGCTTCATGTCCATACCCCGGCTCAAACCTAACCCTAACCCAATGTCCACACCCCGGCTCAACCCTAACCTTAGCTTCATGTCCACACCCCGGCTCAACCCTAACCTTAGCTTCATGTCCACACCCCGGCTCAACCCTAACCTTAGCTTCATGTCCACACCCCGGCTCAACCCTAACCTTAGCTTCATGTCCACACCCCGGCTCAACCTTAACCTTAGCTTCATGTCCACACCCCGGCTCAAACCTAACCCTAACCCAATGTCCACACCCCAGCTCAACCCTAACTGTAAAAGCTAGAGACCACTCTTTTCCTGTTAGTCTTAACTTAGTATCCACCCACACTAAACTACTAGGATAGATCCTACTTTCTAATCAAATCCAATGTATAACGGTCTAGGATAGCAGACTGGACTTGCCTCCAAGATGTCCTTGATAAGAGGGGTCCATCGGGAGAGCTGGTATGTCTGCTCACTCACTCTCTCCTTCCGGTCAGTCTTCTTCACCTTGCGGGCCGGGTTCCCCTAGAAAATAATAATAATAATAATAATAATAATAATAATAATTTGATTAGGAATGCTTCTCATTACATAAGGAATCTCAAAGTGCTTAGAGTAGATGACTGATGCACTCAAATACTCTTCAGTTGGACACAGACAGCATATAATCACTGAGGATATCTTATTTATGCCACTTTTCAAAGATGGATCCCCAATCCACATGCTAAAGTGGTTCTACTCCATTGTGTGAGAGAGTTGTGAGATGGTTCCACAATGGTTCATATTCATTAGGGCACAATGTAGCAAAAAAAACTTTTGCAACAGAAAATAAAAACAAGTGTTTCTTATTGGACAAATTAGTTTGTAGTACCTCCCTGTTTCAGTCAGTTTTCTTCCGCTCGGTGCCTAATGAATACAGGTCCTGGTGTTACTATGTTCCTATAGGAGCTCACCTCTGAGATGATGGGCATGCCCATATGGGCCATGTTGGAGATGATGTCACTGTCCTCGGGAGGGATGTTAGCATGCTGGAGGAGCTTACACAGGTTCTCCTCCGAAACACCTGACACATGCACAAACACAGACATGGACACATGCACCGAAAACACACACACACACATTTGAAAGCATGCACAGAAACATGCACACACCCAAATCAACGCTTGATAATTAGTTGATTATTTGAATCAGCTGTGTAGTGGTTGGGCAAAAACCAAAACGTGCTCCCCTTGGGTGTCCCTGGGACAGAGTTTGGGAAACTATGTATTAGTACATAGTAATGTACATAGTAAACTACAGACACTCAGAAAAGGGATTTATTACCGTTCTTCATGAAGATATAGAGGAGGATGATGCGAATCTTGTCAAAGACGGTGACGTCTTTGTCCAGCAGGACGGGCACGATGGCCCTCATGGGGTCCTTGATCTTCTCCCCCTCTGCGTCCGTACCCATCGCTAGGTCCTGGGGTAGTGCAAGGGGCAAAGACAGAGGGGGGGGGGGGGGGGCACAGGGTGAATTAGATGGTTAGATATACACTGACTGGACAAAACATTAAGAACACCTTCCTAATATTGAGTTGCCCCCCACCCCCATTTGCCATTAGAACAGCCTCAATTTGTCGGGGCATGGACCCTACGTGGAATCCCTGTGGAATGCTGGCCCATGTTGACGCCAATGCTTCCCACAGTTGTGTCAAGTTGGTTGGATGTCCTTTGGGTGGTGGACCATTCTTGATACACTGTTGAGTGTGAAAAACCCAGCAGAGTTGCAGTTTTTGACACAAACCGGTGCTCCTGGCACCTAATACTACCATACCCCGTTCAAAAGCACTTAAATCATTTGTCTTGCCCATTCACTCTCTGAATGGCACACATACACAATCCATGTCTCAATTGTCTCAAGGCTTGAAAATCCTTCTTTAACCTGTCTCCTCCCTTTCATCTACACTGCTTGAAGTGGATTTAATGAGTGACATCAATGAGGGATCATAGCTTTCACCTGGATTCACCTGGTCAGTCTATGTCATGGAAAGAGCAGGTGTCCTTAATGTTTTGTACACTCAGTGTATACCCAGAGTACCTATTTAAACCAAGTGTACTCCAATTCACTGGAGCACCTACAAATATCATCAAGTTGTACAAGTCCACTATGTGCCGATTGGTGTCAGCAATCAGCACCTGTAACTTCTTTGGTCTTCATTTTCAAGCGTCTCATAGTCTTTGGTCTTTGATCTGAGGAGAAGGGTACTGAACATGGAACACTGGTCATTGTGTTACCTGCTCCACACGACACAGCTTGTCCACGGTGCCCTGATAGCGGTTCATACAGTCCTCAGCCAGGTGGAGGTGGGTGGAGTACTGAAACACAGGGAGGAGTGCACACACGCAGGTGGTCAGTGGTAAAGTCAGAAGACTGTAGTTGGTTAAGTGTGCATACTATGTCAACATCCCAAATGGCACCCTATTCCCTATATAGTGCGCTACTTTTTAACAGGGCCAAAATTTTTTACTATTATAGGGAATAAATAGGGTGCCATTTGGGATGCAAACTATAAGTCTGTATAGTATCATTGCTGAAGCCTCAGCATTCCTTAGACTTCAGGGGTGTCAACTCATTCCATGGAGTGCCTAGTGTCTGCTGGTGTTTGGTTTTTCCTTTCAATTAAGACCTAGACAACCAGGTCAGGGGAATTTCTTACTAATCAGTGACCTTAATTCATCAATCAAGTACAATCAAGGAGCGAAAACCTGCTACCGCTCGGCCCTCAGTGGAATGAGTTAGACACCAGTACCTTAGATCCCACACATTCATAGTCCACTTAGTCCATAGTAAAGGTCTTCAACATGAAATACAGTGCCTTCGGAAAGTATTCAGACCCCTTGACTTTTTCCACATTTTGTTACGTTACAGCCTTATTCTAAAATTGATTAAATTGTTTTTTTTCCCTCATCAATCTACACACAATACCCCATAATGACAAAGCAAAAACAGGTTTTTAGAAGTATTTGTGAATTCACAAATAATACAATCTGAAATATCACATTTACGTACAGTACATTTTTACATTTTACATTTTAGTCATTCAGCAGACGCTCTTCTCCAGAGCGACTTACAGTTAGTGAGTGCATACATGTTTTTCTTTTTAGTTTTTTTCATACAGTACCAGTCAAAAGTTTGGACAAACCTACTCATTCCAGGGTTTTTCTTTATTTTTTACTATTTTCTACATTGTAGAATAATAGTGAAGACATCAAAACTATAAAATAACACATATGGAATCATGTAGTAACCAAAAAAGTGTTAAACAAGTCAAAATATATTTTAGATTTTAGATTCTTCAAAGTAGCTGCCTTGATGACAGCTTTGCACACTCTTGGCATTCTCTCAACCAGCTTCACCTGGAATGCTTTTCCAACAGTCTTGAAGGAGTTCCCACATATGCTGAGCACTTGTTGGCTGCTTTTCCTTCACTCTGCGGTCCAACTCATCCCAAACCATCAAAACTATGAAATAACACATATAGAATCATGTAGTAACCAAAAAAAGTGTTAAACAAATATATTTTATATTTGAGATTCTTCAAAGTAGCCACCCTTTGAGATGGTTTGGGATGAGTTGGACCGCAGAGTGAAGGAAAAGCAGCCAACAAGTGCTCAGCATACAGTGGGGAGAACAAGTATTTGATACACTGCCGATTTTGCAGGTTTTCCTACTTACAAAGCATGTAGAGGTCTGTAATTCTTATCATAGGTACACTTCAACTGTGAGAGACGGAATCTAAAACAAAAATCCAGAAAATCACATTGTATGATTTTTAAGTAATTAATTTGCATTTTATTGCATGACATAAGTATTTGATACATCAGAAAAGCAGAACTTAAAATTTGGTACAGAAAGCTTTGTTTGCAATACAGAGATAAAACGTTTCCTGTAGGTCTTGACCAGGTTTGCACACACTGCAGCAGGGATTTTGGCCCACTCCTCCATACAGACCTTCTCCACATCCTTCAGGTTTCGGGGCTGTCGCTGGGCAATACGGACTTTCAGCTCCCTCCAAAGATTTTCTATTGCGTTCAGGTCTGGAGACTGGCTAAGCCACTCCAGGACCTTGAGATGCTTCTTACGGAGCCACTCCTTAGTTGCCCTGGCTGTGTGTTTCGGGTCGTTGTCATGCTGGAAGACCCAGCCACGACCCATCTTCAATGCTCTTACTGAGGGAAGGATGTTGTTGGCCAAGATCTCGCGATACATGGCCCCATCCATCCTCCCCTCAATACGGTGCAGTCGTCCTGTCCCCTTTGCAGAAAAGCATCCCCAAAGAATGATGTTTCCACCTCCATGCTTCACGGTTGGGATGGTGTTCTTGGGGTTGTACTCATCCTTCTTCTTCCTCCAAACACGGCGAGTGGAGTTTAGACCAAAAAGCTCTATTTGTGTCTCATCAGACCACATGACCTTCTCCCATTCCTCCTCTGGATCATCCAGATGGTCATTGGCAAACTTCAGACGGGCCTGGACATGCGCTGGCTTGAGCAGGGGGACCTTGCGTGTGCTGCAGGATTTTAATCCATGACGGTGTAGTGTGTTACTAATGGTTTTCTTTGAGACTGTGGTCCCAGCTCTCTTCAGGTCATTGACCAGGTCCTGCCATGTAGTTCTGGGCTGATCCCTCACTTTCCTCATGATCATTGATGCCCCACGAGGTGAGATCTTGCATGGAGCCCCAGACCAAGGGTGATTGACCGTCATCTTGAACTTCTTCCATTTTCTAATAATTGCGCCAACAGTTGTTGCATCTCACCAAGCTGCTTGCCTATTGTCCTGTAGCCCATCCCAGCCTTGTGCAGGTCTACAATTTTATCCCTGATGTCCTTACACAGCTCTCTGGTCTTGGCCATTGTGGAGAGGTTGGAGTCTGTTTGATTGAGTGTGTGGACAGGTGTCTTTTATACAGGTAACGAGTTCAAACAGGTGCAGTTAATACAGGCAATGAGTGGAGAACAGGAGGGCTTCTTAAAGAAAAACTAACAGGTCTGTGAGAGCCAGAATTCTTACTGGTTGGTAGGTGATCAAATACTTATGTCATGCAATAAAATGCAAATGTATTACTTAAAAATCATACAATGTGATTTTCTGGATTTTTGTTTTAGATTCCATCTCTCACAGTTGAAGTGTACCTATGATAACAATTACAGACCTCTACATGCTTTGTAAGTAGGAAAACCTGCAAAATCGGCAGTGTATCAAATACTTGTTCTCCCCACTGTATGTGGGAACTCCTTCAAGACTGTTGGAAAAGCATTCCAGGTGAAGCTGGTTGAGAGAATGCCAAGAGTGTGCAAAGCTGTCATCAAGGCAGCTACTTCGAAGAATCTAAAATCTAAAATATATTTTGATTTGTTTAACACTTTTTTGGTTACTACATGATTCCATATGTGTTATTTCATAGTTTTGATGTCTTCACTATTATTCTACAATGTAGAAAATAGTAAAAATAAAGAAAAACCCTTGAATGAGTAGGTGTGTCCAAACTTTTGACTGGTACTGTAACTATTCAGACCCTTTACTCAGTACTTTGTTGAAACACTTTTAGCAGCAATTACAGCATCACGTCTTATTGGGTATGTCGCTACAAGCTTGGCACACCTGTATTTGGGGAGTTTCTCCCATTCTTCTCCTGAGCGCTCTGGAGCAGGTTTTCATCAAGGATCTCTCTGTACTTTGCTCCGTTCATCTTTGCCTCGATCCTGACTAGTCTCCCAGTCCCTGCCGCTGAAAAACATCCCCACAGCATGATGCTGCCACCACCATGCTTCACCGTAGGGATGGTGCCAGGTTTCATCCAGACGTGAAGCTTGGCATTCAGGCCAAAGAGTTCAATCTTGGTTTCATCAGACCAGAGAATCTTGCTTCTCATGGTCTGAGAGTCTTTAGGTGCCTTTTGGCAAACTCCAAGCAGGCTGTCATGTGCCTTTTACTGAGGAGTGGCTTCTGTCTGGCCACTCTACCATAAAGGCCTGCATGGTGGAGTGCTGCAGAGATCGTTGTCCTTCTGGAAGGTTCTCCCATCTCCACAGAGGAACTCTAGAGCTCTGTCAGAGTGACCATTGGGTTCTTGGCCACCTCCCTGACCAAGGCCCTTCTCCCCCGATTGCTCAGTTGGGCCGGGCGGCCAGCTCTAGGAAGAGTCTTGGTGGTTCCAAACTTCTTCCATATAAGAGTGTCCTTGGGGACCTTCAATGCTGCAGACATTTTTTGGTAACCTTCCCCAGAACTGTGCCTCGACACAATCCTGTCTTGGAGCGCTACGGACAATTCCTTCGACCTCATGGGTTGGTTTTTGCTCTGGCATGCTCTGTCAACTGTGGGACCTTATTTAGACAGGTGTGTGCCTTTCCAAATCATGTCCAATCAATTGAATTCACCACAGGTAGACTTCAATCAAGTTGTAGAAACATCTCAAGGATGATCAACGGAAACAGGATGCACCTGAGCTCAATTTCGAGTCTCATAGCAAAGGGTCTGAATACTTATGTAAATAAGGTATTTCTGATGTTTTCAAAAACCTGTTTTCGATTTATCATTATTGGGTATTGTGTGTAGATTGCTGAGGATTTAAATAAAATCAATTTTAGAATAAGGCTGTAACGTAACAAAATGTGGAAAAAGTCAAGGGGTCTGAATACTTTCCGAAGGCACTGCATGTCATAGCTGCATGGGGGAACAGTTGATATATGTCATAGCTGCATGGGGGAACAGTTGATATATGTCATAGCTGCATGGGGGAACAGTTGATATATGTCATAGCTGCATGGGGGAACAGTTGATATATGTCATAGCTGCATGGGGGAACAGTTGATATATGTCATAGCTGCATGGGGGAACAGTTGATATATGTCATAGCTGCATGGGGGAACAGTTGTCAGACTTAGCATGGTGGGTGTACTTGGTGATAGTTAAGAATTAACAAGAAAAAGGTTCTCTAACCGAAGATGGATAATAGATGTGCAGGTTTTCTTTGTTAGTTTTTTGTCTACAATGCATAGACACGCTCTTAAGACACATTTACCTTGCTCAGCTCTTTCTGATACTGGGGCATCTTCTTCAGCATCTGAGCCAAGTCTTTCATTGTGGTCTGTAACAAACCCAGAACAGCACATCACTGTTAGACACACACAGCAGCCAATGCAATACAGAGGGTAAAGGACTCATCTCAGGTCAGTAATGAAGTCCTGTAGGACTAATACAGACTGAAATTAGAGTACAGTACCTTTTCTCCTGTGTTCATCTTTTTGGTGGCTGAGAATTCTTTCAGAGAACGGGTCACAGCCCTGTTTGAATGTATGTGAGAAAGAGAGGGAGGGAGGGATATAGGGGGAGAGAGAGAAAGAGATAGTGAGAGAGGGAGGGAGAGAGAGATAGCAGACCCCACAGAGCAAACACAAACAGACCCCACAGAGCCCCAGGACAACAACACAATTAGACCCAACCAAATCATGAGAAAACAAAAAGAGAATTACTTGACACATTGGAAATAATTAACAAAAAAAACAGAGCAAACTAGAATGCTATTTAGCCCTAAACAGAGAGTACACAGTGGCAGAATACCTGACCACTGTGACTGACCCAAACTTAAGGAAAGCTTTGACTATGTACAGACTCAGTGAGCATAGCCTTGCTATTGAGAAAGGCTGCTGTAGGCAGACCTGGCTCTCAAGAGAAGACAGGCTATGTGCACACTGCCCACAAAATGAGGTAGAAACTGAGCTGCACTTCCTAACTTCCTGCCAAATGTATGACCATATTAGAGACACATACTTCCCTCAGATTACACAGACCCACAAATAATTTGAAAACAAATCCAATTTGGATTAACTCCCATATCTATTGGGTGAAATACCACAGTGTGCCATCACAGCAGCAAGATTTGTGACCTGTTGCCACAAGAAAAGGGCAACCAGTGAAGAACAAACACCATTGTAAATACAACCAATATTTATGTTTATTTATTTTCCCATTTGTACTTTAACTATTTGCACATTGTTACAACACTGTATATAGACATAATATGACATTTGAAATGTCTTTATTATTTTGGAACTTCTAAGTGTAATGTTTACTGTTAATATTTATTGTTTATTTCACTTTTGTTTACTATCTACTTCATTTGCTTTGACAATGTTAACATACGTTTCCCATGCCAATAAAGCCCTTAAATTGAATTGAATTGATAGCGAGAGAGCTAGTAATAGAGAGAGAGAGAGAGAGAGAGAAAGAGAGAGCAGTAGTGTGTGTGTGTGTGTGTGTGTGTGTGTGTGTGTGTGTGTGTGTGTGTGTGTGTGTGTGCAAACCAAGGGAGCATCCTATTTGTTAGAGACTTACGTGGTGACTTCTGCAATGTGCTTGTGTCTGAGACTCATCCACAGATCATCATCCTCATCCAGCAACACCGCCTTCTCCTTGACCTCCCCCATGCCGCTGGTGTCATACCTGACAGAGAGAGAGAGAGAGAGAGAGAGAGAGAGAGAGAGAGAGAGAGAGAGAGCAGCCCATTACAGCAAAGACAGATATGCTCAAATGTTGATTTGCTGCCAGGTATAGATATCCTTTAATTCACATAGGGATAGATATCCTTTAATTCACATAGGGATAGATATCCTTTAATTCACATAGGGATAGAGATCCTATTGTTTATATAGGGATAGAGATCCTATTGTTCACATAGGAATATAGATCTATTGTTCACATAGGGATAGAGATCCTATTTGTTCTATTTAATTATGTTGTGCCATGCCCAGTGTGTTATGAACCCATTGCTTGGCTAGGCTGTGCCTGTGTGTGCGTGCCTGTGTGTGCGTGTGTGTGTGTGTGTGTGCGTGTGCGCGTGTGCGCATGTGTGTGCGTGCGTGTGTGTGTGCGTGCGTGTGTGTGTGTGCATGTGTGTGTGTGTGTGTGCGTGTGTGTGTGTGTGTGTGTGCGTGCGTGCGTGCGTGTGTGTGTGTGTGCTTGTGTGTATTTACTTGTAGACGTCGTTCTCGATGCCCAGCAGGTCATAGCCCATGGCTTGGAGGGTGAGCTCATGGAGGATGGGCGACACCGGGTCAAAGCCTCGGTCCAGAATCAGGAGCTGGGAGCGAGACTTGTCCGGACCCTGAGCAGGGCGGAGGGAATACGTGTAAATAGAAACTGACAAAGAGGTTATAATAATATGTTTATATAATATAATATACAGTTGAAGTCGGAAGTTTACATACACTGAGGTTGGAGTCATTAAAACTAGTTTTTCAACCACTCCACAAATGTCTTGTTAACAAACTATAGTTTTGGCAAGTCAGTTAGGACATCTACTTTGTGCATGACACAAGTAATTTTTCCAACAATTGTTTACAGACAGATTAGTTCACTTATTATTTACTGTATCACAATTCCAGTGGGTCAGAAGTTTACATACACTAAGTTGACTGTGCCTTTAAACAGCTTGGAAAATTCCAGAAAATAATGTCATGGCTTTAGAAGCTTCTGATAGGCTAATTGACATCATTTGAGTCAATTGGAGGTGTACCTATGGATGTATTTCAAGGCCTACCTTCAAACTCAGTGCCTCTTTGTTTGACATCATGGGAAAATCAAAAGAAATCATCCAAGACCTCAGAAAAAAAATTGTAGACCTCCACAAGTCTGGTTCATCCTTGGGAGCAATTTCCAAACGCCTGAAGGTACCACGTTCATCTGTACAAACAATAGTACGCAAGTATAAACACCATGGGACCACGCAACCGCCATACCGCTCAGGAAGGAGACGCGTTCTGTCTCCTAGAGATGAACGTACTTTGGTGTGAAAAGTGCAAATCAATCACAGAACAACAGCAAAGGACCTTGTGAAGATGCTGGAGGAAACAGGTACAAAAGTATCTATATCCACAGTAAAACGAGTCCTATATCGACATGAAAGGCCGCTCAGCAAGGAAGAAGCCACTGCTCCACAACCGCCATAAAAAAGACAGACTACGGTTTGCGCATGGAGACAAGATCGTACTTTTTGAGAAATGTCCTCTGGTCTGATGAAACAAAAATAGAACTGTTTGGCCATAATGACCATTGTTATGTTTGGAGGAAAAAGGGGAACACTTGCAAGCCGAAGAACACCATCCCAACCGTGAAGCACGGGGGTGGCAGCATCATGCTGTGGGGGTGCTTTGCTGCGGGAGGGACTGGTGCACTTCACAAAATAGATGGCATCATGAGGAAGGAAAATGATGTGGATATATTGAAGCAACATCTCAAGACATCAGTCAGGAAGTTCAAGCTTGGTCGCAAATGGGTCTTCCAAATGGACAATGACCCCAACCATACTTCCAAAGTTGTGGCAAAATGGCTTAAGGACAGCAAAGTCAAGGTATTGGAGTGGCCATCACAAAGCCCTGACCTCCATCCTATAGAACATTTGTGGGCAGAACTGAAAAAGCGTGTGCGAGCAAGGAGGCCTACAACCCTGACTCAGTTACACCAGCTCTGTCAGGAGGAATGGGCCAAAATTCACCCAACTTATTGTGGGAAGCTTCTGGAAGGCTACCCGAAACGTTTGACCCAAGTTAAACAATTTAAAGGCAATGCTACCAAATACTAATTGAGTGTATATAGACTTCTGACCCACTGGGAATGTGATGAAAGAAATAAAAACTGAAATAAATCATTCTCTCTACTATTATTCTGACATTTCACATTCTCAAAATAAAGTGGTGATCCTAACTGACCTAAGACAGGGAATTTTTACTAGGATTAAATGTCAGGAATTGTGAAAAACTGAGTTTAAATGTATTTGGCTAAGGTGTATGCAAACTTCCGACTTCAACTATATGCCATTTAGCAGATGCTTTAAATCCAAAGCGACTTACAGTCATGTGTGCATCCATCTTACATATGGATGGCCCCGGGAATCAAACCCACAACCCTGGCATTGCAAACGCCATGCTCTACCAACTGAGCCATACAACTGCTCCATGTGCCAATGTATGTGTGTGTTTACATTATGATTCGACTACACTGCTACAGTTTCATACATAACCTCCAAAACAACCATAGATTCAACTATTCCATTATTTTGCCTGTGCGTGCTACATTGGTTTTACGTAATGACGTGTTTCAATGTAACCTAAAGGACAAAACCCACCGTGCCGGCGAAAGCGTAAAACCAGCCGGTGACTATCCTATCGCCTCTGACCTGAACATCGGACGTAATTTCCCTGTTCATTTCCTAACAATTCTATATATTGAATGGCCACCGTTTGTTGACACCCAGCAGGTGATCTCTAACACACTGTGGTCACCTGATGCTTTTAGCCGTTCACCGGCTCAGTGTGTTTTGTAAGGTCCTTTCTTGCTCCAGTGAAATCATTATGGTTGGTTCGTTGACTGCAGGGTCGGGGTCAATTCCATTTAAATTCTAGTCAATTCAGGGAGTACACTGAAATTCCAATGCCAATTCTCTCCAATGTTTTTCAATGAGGAAAATTTGGAATTGGGTTTACTATCTGAATTGACTGGAAATTAAATGGAATTGACTCCAACCCTGGTTGTCTGCTCTCCTCTCCTCTCCTGCCTCACCTCTCCCATGGTGGGGTCATCTGCCTTGTAGCCATCCAGCTTGTCCTGCAGGAGCTGAGCCAGAGTGGCACAGTCTTTGTAGTCCCTGAGTCAAGACAAGTAGACAACAGATAGGCTCTTAGCTTTCCAACAGACATCAGTCTATACAGGCTGTTAACACCATAGGCGTTAACAGCCGTGTATCAGGGCAATAGAAAGCCTAGTTATTGATAGTGCTTCCTCCCTCTCTCTCTCTCTCTCTCTCTCTCTCTCTCTCCTCTCTCTCTCTCTCTCTCTCCTCTCTCTCTCTCTCTCTCTCTCTCTCTCTCTCTCTGTCTCACCCTCTCTCTCTCTCTCTCTCTCTCTCTGTCTCACCCTCTCTCTCTCGCTCTCTCTCTCTCTCTGTCTCACCCTCTCTCTCTCTCTCTCTCTGTCTCACCCTCTCGCTCTCTCTCTGTCTCACCCTCTGTATCTGACGCCAGGGTATTCCTTCAGGGTGTTGCAGAGAGTAGCGATCTGCTCAGCACAGCGCTCCAACATGTTGTGCTTGATGTCAGCCTTGTAGGGGCTGTAGAAATCCTGGAAGGCATCAGTCTTGTCCAGGGAAAACACCTAGACACACAGACATAAGACAGATATAAGAGGGAATACCCCTACATACACACAGATAAATAATACATCAATCCAATGTATTTTATTAGGCTATTTTTACGTCGATAGTTGTCACGAAGTGCTTTACAGTTGCCCGGCCTAGACCCAAATATTCTGGTCACTTCCTAGGTTTTCCAGAAATCCTGTTTGGAATATTCCTGTAATCAGGATGGAATAAGTAAGAAATCCATGAATCCTCCAACCGGGAATTTTGCAACCCTATCCAGTGGGCATGCAGGGCCGGGCGCGCAGGAGGCACTGTAGCAGTGTGTGAGATTGTGTGTGAGTCAAACAGCGTGTGTGTGGGGGAGATAATATCATACTCTTTCATTACACTGAGTGCTGCCCAAATGACTGACAACACAGTCCAGTGCTGTAGGAGCAGATGGGACATCTTTCATTATTTCCTCCAGTACTTTCTCTTCCGTAGGAGGGATTTCCCAAATGCACCATGATGACATAAATGACAGTTTATTTCCAATCTGAAACTTCCTATTTCTGCTCTGACATACCTCCCTCCATCCCTTTCCATTTCCTCTACTACCATAACGTGTGCCAGTCAGGCAAACTCTCTCTTTCCCCACGCACCACCACCACTATCACTGGCAACTCCACACGGTTGAGCCCATCTGTTGATCGTCTCATCCCTCTGGTGTGCAAACAACTTCCCCTTGTCACACAACTCTCCTTCACCTCCCATCAGCCAATGAGGTGAGGGATTAGAGGCGGGCTAGAAGGGAGGGAGGCAGGACGACGTGGCCTCCCCATACCCCACTTCCACCACCACCCCACCACCCCCCTCCTGTAGGATTAATTCTAGAGGAAAACAGAACAGCAGAGGATTGGAGACACAGCAAAGCCATGGCCTGGCTAAAGCCGCTCTGCTCTGGAACATTCCATCAGGAGAAAGAGGAGAGGAGAGGAGACAACCCCAGCTCATTCAGCAATCCCTCCTCCACTCCACTCCTCCCTCCTCCACTCCTCCCCTACTCTTCCCTTATTCCTCCCCCTCTCCCACTTCCTCCTCTGTCTCCCCTCCTGTTTGTCCGTGTCTCTCCATGTCTCTCTCTCCCTCTCCCTCTCCCTCTCTCTCTCTCCAGACAGACAGACAGACAGACAGAAGGGCAGACAAGTTCTGACCTGAGACTCATAGGGCAGAAAGGCGATGTGGATCTCAGTCAAGGTCTTCATGGCTTTGGACGCGCGGGATTTCGTCAACAAATTAAACAATGAATCCGGGATTGCTGTGAGGGAGGGGGAGTGACAAAAAAGATACATTAAAAGATTAAAGAAAAAAGGAAATAGAATAGAAATCAATATACTCTACTGCATAAGGTTGACATTGAGTGTTGGTATGGTGTCAAAGAGTTGCCTGCCGTTCCATCTGCTAGTCCGTTCCCAGTACTCCAGTAGGCCTCAGACTGCTCCATACTCTAATTCACATATACAGTAGGCGATGGGACGCAGTCGTCCCATGTCTCTCTAAAATTACTCACTGTCAGTGAAGAAGACGTGAGCTCCTCTGTATCTGGGCGACCGCGGGTCTCTGAAGTCATCTATGAGTGCCTCCACAGTCTAGGGAGGAGAAGGAACGGTCGGCAACATCATTAGAATATTACCAAAGAAAGCAAAATGGTTGTGGTCGTGTGTGGCTCAGGTGGTAGAGCATGGCACTTCCAACTCCAGAGCTGTGGGTTTCATATTGCACTGGAGCCACCCATATGTAAATGTATGAATGTACTAGAGTAAGAGGCTTTGGATAAAAGCGTCTACTAAATGTCTCTCATACCTCATCATTGGGAGTTATGAGGTAGATGGCCTCCATACTAGGGAGAGGCTCCCGCTTCTTGCCGATGTCTTCAACAACTGGACAGGAGAGGACAGAAAAGCACAGTCATTAAGTTAGCCAATTAAAGGTGCTATACCTAGAATGTATCCCCTATGTGGAAGCTAGCTGAATTGCAACAGCACTAGGCTGCATTCAAAACAAATCTCCCCCCTCCCCCACATCCAGTTTCTCTGTAACATGGCGGAGACTCGCGCTTGAGCCTTTTACTTTCTGTTTTGGTCCACCAGCTTCAAACAGCTGTAAAAACAATATTTGTTGTTATTGAAAATATATTTCACAGTGATTTAGATGGTAGAATAATTCCCTACACTATTCAGTGCTTGTTTTCTCACATAAACTGAAATTGAGTGAACAGTGTAGGGAATTATTGTCCCATCTAAATCCCTGTGAAATATATTTTCAATAACAAAGTCAAATAGGCAAAGTGATGCTGATCAGTAAGCTTGTGTGTGTGCGTATGTGTGACGTTGACAGAGTGGTACTCACTGGTGATGCCCTCTGACATGATATCTGTCATCTTACAGCAAGATGACATCATCCTCATGCTCAGCTTGTCTACAACCAGCACCTGGGGGAGGGCAGGGAGGACACGGGTCAGAGGTCACAGTGCGTCAAGGGGTATATCCCAAATGGCACTCTATTCCCTATATAGTGCGCTACTTTCGACTAGGACCCATAGGGCTCTAGTCAAAAGTAATACACTATATAGGGAATAGGGTGCCATTTGGGCGCAGACCAGCACTATCACGTACTGTCAGAGAGTCATTTATAACCAAGACACAGTCATTTATAACCAAGACACAGTCATTCATAACCAAGACACAGTCATTTATAACCAAGACACAGTCATTTATAACCAAGACACAGTCATTCATAACCAAGACACAGTCATTTATAACCAAGACACAGTCATTCATAACCAAGACACAGTCATTTATAACCAAGACACAGTCATTCATAACCAAGACACAGTCATTAATAACCAAGACACAGTCATTCATAACCAAGACACTGTCATTTATAACCAAGACACAGTCATTCATAACCAAGACACAGTAATTCATAACCAAGACACAGTCATTCATAAGCAAGACACAGTCATTCATAAGGAAGACAGTCATTCATAACCAAGACACAGTCATTAACAAGCAAGACACAGTCATTAATAAGCAAGACACAGTCATTCATAAGCAAGACACAGTCATTAATAACCAAGACACAGTCATTTATAACCAAGACACAGTCATTTATAACCAAGACACAGTCATTCATAACCAAGACACAGTCATATATAACCAAGACACAGTCATTTATAACCAAGACACAGTCATTCATAACCAAGACACAGTCATTTATAACCAAGACACAGTCATTCATAACCAAGACACAGTCATTTATAACCAAGACACAGTCATTCATAACCAAGACACAGTCATTAATAACCAAGACACAGTCATTCATAACCAAGACACTGTCATTTATAACCAAGACACAGTCATTCATAACCAAGACACAGTAATTCATAACCAAGACACAGTCATTCATAAGCAAGACACAGTCATTCATAAGGAAGACAGTCATTCATAACCAAGACACAGTCATTAATAAGCAAGACACAGTCATTAATAAGCAAGACACAGTCATTCATAAGCAAGACACAGTCATTAATAACCAAGACACAGTCATTCATAACCAAGACACAGTCATTTATAACCAAGACACAGTCATTTATAACCAAGACACAGTCATTCATAAGCAAGACACAGTCATTAATAACCAAGACACAGTCATTCATAACCAAGACACTGTCATTTATAACCAAGACACAGTCATTCATAACCAAGACACAGTAATTCATAACCAAGACACTGTCATTCATAAGCAAGACACAGTCATTCATAAGGAAGACAGTCATTCATAACCAAGACACAGTCATTAATAAGCAAGACACAGTCATTAATAAGCAAGACACAGTCATTCATAAGCAAGACACAGTCATTAATAACCAAGACACAGTCATTCATAACCAAGACACAGTCATTTATAACCAAGACACAGTCATTTATAACCAAGACACAGTCATTCATAACCAAGACACAGTCATTAATACGCAAGACACAGTCATTCATAAGCAAGACACAGTCATTAATAACCAAGACACAGTCATTTATAACCAAGACACAGTCATTCATAACCAAGACACAGTCATTTATAACCAAGACAATCATTCATAACCAAGACACAGTCATTAATGACCAAGACACAGTCATTTATAACCAAGACACTGTCATTCATAACCAAGACACAGTCATTAATGACCAAGACACAGTCATTTATAACCAAGACACTGTCATTCATAACCAAGACACAGTCATTTATAACCAAGACACAGTCATTCATAACCAAGACACAGTCATTTATAACCAAGACACAGTAATTAATATCCAAGACACAGTCATTTATAACCATTGACATACGGTGCCTTCAGAAAGTATTCAATATATACCGAACAAAAATATATAATCGCAACATGTAAAGTGTTGGTCCCATGTTTCATGAGCTGAAATAAAAGATCCCAGAAATTGTCCATATGCACAAAAAGCTTAATTATCTCAAATTTTGAGCACAGATTTGTTTGCATCCCTGTTAGTGAGCATGTCTCCTTTGCCAAGATAATCCATCCACCTGACAGGTGTGGCATATCAAGAAGCTGATTAAACAGCATGATCATTACACAGGTGCACCTTGTGCTGGGGACAATAGAAGGCCATTTAAAACATTTTAATGTATTTTATTTTACCTTTATTTAACTAGGCAAGTCAGTTAAGAACAAATTCTTAATTACAATGACGGCCTACACCGGCCAAACCCGGACGACACTGGGCCAATTGAGCGCCGCCCTATGGGACTCCCAATCACGGCCGGTTGAGATACAGCCTGGAATCGAACCAGGGGGTCTGTAGTGACGCCTCAAGCACTGAGATCTGAGCCTTAGACCGCTGCGCCACTCGGGAGCAGTTTTGTCACACAACACAATACCACAGATGTCTCAAGTTTTGAGGGAGCGTGCAAATGGCATCCTGACTGCAGGAATGTCCACCAGAGCTTTTGCTAGAGAATTTCATGTTATTTTCTCTACCATAAGCCGCCTCCAACATCGTTTTAGAGAATGTGGCAGTACGTCCAACCGGCCTCACAACCCCAGACCATGTGTAACCATGCCAGCCCAGGACCTCCACATCCGGCTTCTTCACCTGCGGGATAGTATGAAGGGGTGCTGAGGCGTATTTCTGTCTGTAATAAAGCCCTTTTGTGCAGAAAAACTAATTCTGATTGGCTGGGCCTGGCTCCCCACTGGGTGGGCCTGGCTCCCAAGTGGGTAGGCCTATGCCCTCCCCGGGCCACCCATGGATCCACCCTTGCCCAGTCATGTGAAACCCATAGATTAGGGCCTAATTTATTTATTTCAATTGACTGATTTCCTTATATAACTTCAACGCAGTAAAATCTTTGAAATTGTTGCATGTTGCGTTTATATTTTTGTTCAGTATACTTTCTGAAGGCACTGTAAAAGCTGCCCATACCTTCCATTCTCCTTTCTTGTGTACCTTCTTGATGACATCATTCATAATCTCTGTAAAGGGAGAAATCATTGATTAGCACACACTTCAGTTTGCACATTAAACTTTCCTGTGATAAAAAGCGTTGTAGGCTGTTTGCCCCTTGTCATATACAGTAAAGTCTCGCGAGGCCGTCCTTCCAAAATCTCATCTCACTGACTCGACTATTGGAACAACATTAGCAAAGCCTGGGAATCTAAGCATAATGTCTCAGATGAAAGAATGCATGTCAGATATTTTGGTCTAGTGAATTCTTAGTTTAAGGGGGTGACAGATGGTGTTAGCGATGAGGGCATAGCCATAGTTGGCATTTAATGGGCTCCTCGGAGGGGTGTGAAGCAGGCATGTCATACAGTGTAACACTTGAATTCAATCTGTGAGGAGTTTTGGAACCTGGCGCCCCTTGGAACCATCTGGAAGACTGTTGATGCATCCCAAATGGAACCCTATTCCCTTTAAACTGTGCTACTCTTGACCAGGACCTAGGGAATAGGGTGCCATTTGGGACACAGATCTCAGCTAACAGCAAACGTTCCCACAACTTTAGAGAACATTCCCTTAAGAGTCTGATTAGGTCATTATCTAATGTTTTCATAGGTATGTTCCAGTGATGTTTCGAAGAGACCATTCCCTAAATGTCAAACAGAACTTACCCCGAATGTGGTTACCATGTCTCAGAATGTTCCGGATTAATGTACTAGACATGTTTCATTGGAACATTGCAAGAATATTTGTGTCCAGTTTTCTGAGGGTTAATGTTTTAGATGTGTTTCATTGGAACATTGCAAGAATATTTGTGTCCAGTTTTCTGAGGGTTATGGGAATATTCCACCAACATCACACCAAATATACACAGAACATGCTTGCCATGTTCTCAGACTATAAGATATTAAAGCTGCACTAATGCAAAAATCGCTGCACCATTTCCTGGTTGCTAAAATTCTAATAGTTCGCCTAATTTCAGTTTATGTGACAAAACAAGCATGCATTGTGTAGAGAATCATTGTACCATCTAAACCGCTGTGAAATATATTTTCCATAACCAAAAATATTATATTTTCAGCTGTTTTAACCTGGGGTACAAATCTGAAAGTAAAAGACGCAAAACCTAAACTTAAGAACAGGAAGCATAGAAATAGCCCACATAGAACAGATCTACCGCTTCTTAGACTTGCATTTACAGTTTTTCTCAATTGTTTACACACTAAAACTGTCCCATGAGGCACAATGACCCAAACCTGTAACTCATTTAGCAGAACCAGACACCAAATCTGACCCAAAGCTGTAACTAATTTTGCAGAACCAGACACCAAATCTGACCCAAACCTGTAACTCATTTAGCAGAACCAGACACCAAATCTGACCCAAACCTGTAACTCATTTAGCAGAACCAGACACCAAATCTGACCAAAAGCTGTAACTCATTTTGCAGAACCAGACACCAAATCTGACCCAAACCTGTAACTCATTTAGCAGAACCAGACACCAAATCTGACCCAAACCTGTAACTCATTTAGCAGAACCAGACACCAAATCTGACCCAAACCTGTAACTCATTTAGCAGAACCAGACACCAAATCTGACCCAAACCTGTAACTCATTTAGCAGAACCAGACACCAAATCTGACCCAAACCTGTAACTCATTTAGCAGAACCAGACACCAAATATGCAATACTACTGGCACAGGTTTTTGCTTTACATTCAGATTGCAATTCTATAACAAACATTTGGCAAATCACAACACACAATTCTCTTCCTTTGGCACAACCTTCACAACTAAAATATATTGTGTGCAAAAGAAAAGCAACACTGTTAAACAAGCTAAGCTCAGTTACCAATTGATCACTTTCACTCTTCACATATGCAAACACTAATTGCGTAAATGTTCACTTTGCAACCAGACCTTTGGTATGGATAAAAAGGCCACAGGTGAGTACTCCTGTGTTTGGAGAACATTGGAAGCAAACTTGGCAGAGAGAGGTGGAGGTGGAGGTGGGGGTGGGGGTGGGGGTGGGGGTGGGGGTGGGGGTGTAGGTGGGGGTGGGGGTGGGGGTGGAGGAAGACCAAGAACAAGGAGAGTAATCTCTGATGAAATTTGGGCGACTGTGGTGGACCATGTGGTCAACCATGGTTTGACCCTGAGAGAGGCTGGGCAGAAAGCGCACCGTAGCATCCATCATCCAGATGTTCCAAAATGAGAATAGGTATGTACTGCAGACATTGGACCTATCTACTACTTTTACTACTTGACAGTAGTACAACATAAAGCAGTACAACCCATATGGGTAACATCACAAAAGATGTCTCTCCCTAACATTGTTAGCTGGGCCTGTGTTTGAACAAATGCTTCATCCTATCATGTAGGCTATGCCACCCAGATGCCAGTCCCTGGGATGCCAGTCTGTGGTAAAATCACATTTTATTTGTCACATGCTTCAAAAACAACAGGTGTAGACTAACAGTACCGAGTCGATGTGCAGGGGTACGAGGTAATTTAGGAAAATATGTACATATAGGTAGAGGTAGGGGTAAAGTGACTAGGAAACAGGATAGATAATACACAGTAGCAGCAGCGTATGTGATGAGTCAAAAAAGTTTGTGCAAAAATGTTCAATGCAGATAGTCCGGGTAGCTATTGGTTAACTATTTAACTAACTATTTAGCAGTCTTATGGCTTGGGGTTAGAAGCTGTTCAGTGTCCTGTTGGTTCCAGACTTGGTGCATCGGTACCGCTTGCCGTGTGGTAGCAGAGAGCAGTCTATGACTTGGGTCACTGGAGTCTTGGACAATTTTTAGGGCCTTTGTTTGATACCGCCTGGTATAGAGGTCCTGGATGGCAGGGAGCTCTGCCCCAGTGATGTACTGGGCCATACGCATTACCCCCTGTAACGCCTTGCGGTCAGATGCCAAGCAGTTGCCATACCAAGCGGTGATGCAGCCAGTCAAGATGCTCTCAATGGTGCAGCTGTATAACTTTTTGACGATCTGAGGGCCCATGCCAAATCTTTTCAGCCTCCTAAGGGGCAAGAGCCTTCGTCACGACTGTGTTAGTGTGTGTGGACCATGTTAATTCCTTAGTGATGTGGACACTGAAGAACTTGAAGCTCTCGACCCTCTCCACTACAGCCCCGTCGATGTGGATGGGGGCGTGCTCGGCCATCCGTTTCCTGTAGTCCATGATCAGCTCCTTTGTCTTACTGACGTTGGGGGTGGTATGAGCTTCAAATATAGAATTAAAAAGCTGGCCTATCTATCTACTGGAGTGAGCCAGTGAGAGGAACACGCAGCAATCACAAGGCTTAATCTCTTCCAATCCTCTTACGCCACAGGCTGCTATTTCTGGGGTCTTTCTGTCCCACTGGATGTGGCGTAACAACGCCCATGACAATATATCCTACAAACCGAAAGCTTATCAAGAAACAGAAATAGGCCTATGTTTCATTGGAGCTAGGAACACAAGCATTTCTCTACACCCGCAATAACATCTGCTAAATATGTGTATGCGACCAATAAAATGTGATTTGATTTCGATTTGATTTTCAAACAATGCTGTTTTGAACATTGGTTGATGGTTATAGAGGCAACTTGTCTGTCTATCATTGAATTAATTCACTATCCAATTAACCAACTGGTTTAGCTAGGGGGAATTGCCCCAATGCCCCATGAAAGAGTCAGTCAGCAACAACACAAACTCACAAGCAGCTTTGGGAAGGGAGATAATGTCTGCCCTATTCCCTGTATAATGCACTACTTTTGACCAGGGCCAATATGGGCACATAGGGCTCTGGTCAAGTGCACTATATAGGGAATAGGGTGCCATTTGGGATGCAACCACTAAACTTCTCCTGTCTGTCTGAGCCAGACAACCGCAACTATTGTGTCTCAGAAGGTCAACAGAAGAGCCAAGACCGCCAACCTACCACTAACCTACTGGCAGACAGGAGAAAACAAGCTGTGGGTCAATCTGTCTCACAGTGGATCCTTGCAGAGATATCATAGACTTTTGATACATTCTTTGCATTGGTGTCTCAATTGACTTTTCAATTATTGTGCTATCCAATAGAGAAATATAAGAAATGGAACCACCAGATGAAATAGGAAAGATAGGAGAACTGAGAGCGCGGTGGTGCAATCGTATCAGATGCTAGGCTCACTGGATTTTACTTTCAATAGGTCTACTTCTCGATAAGTTTTTGGCAAAATGATGTATTTAAATTATGTTTGATATACAAATTAGATATCAATAAAATAGTAATTCAAACAAATTAAAATAGCCTAAATGACTTTTTTTTTAGAATAGGCTACTGTCAAAAATAAAATAGCCTACACACAGTACACAGTGCCTAGCCTACATAACGGTGATGGTTGATCCTTAAATACAAATAAATATTCTTACTTTCTCCCACAATTGCTTTTAGTCCGAGCGGTGCCATGGTGATGCCTCTGTCGTGGACGCGTCTCTAAATCCCCCTCTCTCTCTCTCCCTTAACCCGACCCGACCTCAGCTAATACAGCGATGTAGCCTGCTGCAGACCTCCCTCCGTTCTTATTGCATTGACAGTAGACCTAATCCCTTCCACGCCCCCGCCTTATCTGTAGGCTACTGTACAACCATGCCGATTTCGGCTGTCATACAATACTACCTAATGATAATATAGCCTAACTTTTAAATTGACACAAATCTGTTTGGCTTTCTGCAGAGTATTATTTATCAAGTTAAAGTTATTGTATTTTACATTAGGGTAAGAATAAAGTAACCTTTTTAGGCAAATGACTTCAGATTTTAATTTTGTTGTGGCACAAGCCTAATAAAAAACATATAAAACCTTTTAATTTTATATTTTCAGCGCAAGTGCAATATATAATTCAATCGGCCTACAAACTCACTCATACATTGGCTACATTATCAAAATACCGAGAGATGTCCACAGGGGGGCAGTAATGTCTAAGTAAACATAGGCATAGGTCTCATTTTGTGCGCGTGCCATTCAAGCAAGTATGAGCACAGATTATCC